TTCTTTCCTTCTTTCCTTCTTTCCTTCTTTCCTTCTTTCCTTCTTTCTTTTTAATTAATTTTTTAAAGTTGTCTCCATGTAATGCAGCAGAGTCCTCGGGAATTTATAGCAACCAGTATTCCCAGCTGATGGAAGCAGACTGCTTTGACTTATTCCAGAGTGCTGATATGCTCAGGATGTGTCAACTCATTTTAGCTTTTTTGTCAGCTAGATACCCTTTAGAAATACATTTTTTTCCTGTCTGTTAAAGGTTCAATATTTGCTAGAGTAATTTGCCTATTTTCTCCTATTTTCTCATTTAAACGTATTTTGAAATAGTAAAGTAAGGTACACTGCCATACCACAGTATAAGTACTAATTTATCCCAGACTACAATTTTAGGCAAGCTACTGCAGAGATACATAATATAGTCTACATGCTGTACAGTGATGCACATTGCTTGATTTGAAGTATGTCATCTGGTGCTATATACCTCTGATCATCTGTATGTCACTAAAGCTACTGGGTCACAAATTTCTGATAATTATGCATTTCCAGGCACAATTTGAATTACTTTAGGGTTGTGCCTTTCATACTGATTTCCTCTTCTTGCCTATCTGGAAGAGCTGCTATTATCTCATTCTCCACTCAAAGCATCTGCAAGGACTTTCAGCCTAAGCAGGATCTACTCCTTTACATTACTTACATTACATTTATAATATTACTTTGTGCAGCATTCATGCATTCGTGTAATCTGCGTGTTGCAAAGATTTAAATGCGTCAGTGTTTTGTGAATATTGACTCACTGGGAATCTGCTGTATGTTTGTTTATTTGTCTGACTCTGGGACTGTGGTGTTTGCCGCTTTGGCAGATGTGCTACTTTGTTTATGAAACAGTCAAACAGTGAATAAAACTCTTACCTAGAAAGGAACTACTAACTCTAGCTTATATGGTGCGTGCCTAGGTCTGATGCTCAAGTATGTTTTTGTTTATTCTCTATTAATGTGATTGTATCATTTTTGTGATCCAAACACAAATTCACCATCATCAAACACCTTCAAATCTGTCATGCTCATTGTTTGTTCTTTTCATGGTGTAGAATGGAATCACCCCACTGCATGTCGCTTCCAAAAGGGGAAACACAAACATGGTGAAGCTCTTGTTGGATCGTGGAGGGCAGATCGATGCCAAAACCAGGGTGAGTGCTTCTATTCCCCGAATATGATGTTATCCCTTCTTGGGAATGGATTGCGATTTTTTTACTTGCTTGGTTTTTTTGTTTCTTTTTAAGCCAAAGACTGGGAACATCAAGATGCATAGCTAGGCATTCTGCTTCAGTAATTGTGTTATATGTTCTGTCCATAAACTGAGACATTAGATGCAGCTGTTATAAATGACTCAAAAAAAACCCCAAACAACCCAACACTAAAAAATACTCAGCTGAACAGAGTTCCAAAAACTCAGCTAATCCTTTTGGTCCCCTGACTCCTGCTTTTTTGTTCCAGTCACCATGAGAAGGAAAACTGTTAGTGGACTTAATATTGAAGAGTCAACACTAGGAACAAGTAATTTAACATTGCTGCAGCAGCGCATCTCCTCTTCTCTGGATTAAGCCACAGCAATACTTTGCTCTTTATTCATTCAGGGCAAAAGAAAAACCCACCAATTTGTATGTGCAGGATTAATTAATTATTTAAAATTGGATTTTGAAGCCATCTAAGAAAACGCAGTTGTTAATGCAAACTGAGTATCATGGGACTCGTCCATGAAAGCTGCTGATTTTTTAGCACTGATCTGCAAGGTTTTATCTACAAGTATTAGATGATGTTTCAGAACACAATAGTTTGGAGCTGTATAAAGGAGCAATGTATTTTTTTGTTTAATAAAGTAGAAAAGTAGGGAATATTGCATTCAGCTGTGCTTGTGGTTTATTTAGCTGCAGCTGTTATTTTTTTATTCATTTTGTTTACCATTTTTTTGCTTAATAAGCTAGGAAGGCAAAACATGATTGTTATGCTACTCTGCATGTGAATATGATTTCTGATTTCTCTCTTGATCTTATTCATCTGTTTTTTTTTTAAACTGATCATGATGGAAGATGAAAGCTCTCATGAAGGTGTGCAGTAAATCATCCCTGATCAAATTCTCCATTATCTTATGGTAAAAAAAAGTGTAAAACTGTGATAATGTGCTGCAGTAAGTGTAAGCACAGCAGTCATACAGAAACAGTACACTTGGCCTATGGGATGATAGTATTGAATTCCCCTATTTCTTGTTCAGTATTTAGATATTTGTTTTGGACAAGTTAGCCCAGGTGATTGTACATGACTTCATGGATTTTATGGGGTTAAGTCATAGTTCCACACACCCAGAAAGGCTAAAATGCAGTTGTGAATTAAACTGAAAGAATAAGACTTTGCCGAGTGTGGGTGGAAGGCTCTAAATTTGGAGTCTTTGCATTGTCTTGGCTTCCTGCCCTTTGTCAGCTGCTACATCATCTCAAAAACTGTCGGCAGAAAAATATCAGTGGGAAATGATAAAGGTGTCCTAAAGCACATATATTCCAGCTTGCACAGGCTCAGCAGCTTCTTCTTGCTTCCATCTTCTGCCTTCCCTCTGCTCAAAGACACGTGATGGTGGTTGGCTGTGTGTACTTTCCAGTGGGGGAGATTCCAGGCTTTGGTTCTGCTGTCAGTGTCTCCCCATGCCGTGCTCTTGTCTCCATGCCAGCTGTTTATGTAGTCTCGGTGTCTTTTTCTTTTCTCTTTGCTTTGTCCGCATGCCTTGTGCTTTGCTATGGCCGTGAGTATGTAGGGTGTTGACGAGGTAGGTTGTGTGTTGCATGTGTGCATATGTGTGTGTTGTGCTTTAAAGGAGAGACTTCTGCCTTGTCCTCCTCAGTACTAACATGCTTGCCTTTCCATATTTGCCTTTTCATTTCTCTTAAAGAACCCTTGCATTTTTCCAGTAGGTCAGATTCACTGAAAGACAGTGGAATTAAATGTACTCTTGGCTTTTATTTGCCATCTTCAAACTGTATCAAAATATGCTCTTTGTTTAAGAAGCAGTCATTGCTTTCATACATTTTATTTTTAACCATTTTACGTGACATTTTATGATGCCTAACTTAAGATGTGAAAGGTTATTTTAACAAATCTTAACTAAATCCAAGTCCTTTAGCTTTACACAGTTAATCTATGAAATCTTCTACTGATTAAAAATATTAAAAGTAACTATTAGGAGCTGATGTTCTGTCTACAGAAAAACTCCAGTCAAATTAAAATGTACACTCTTCAAAGTGAGTAAATAATGAATGTGTCCTCCTGTTCCATAGTTAATGTTGCATGTCAGAGAAGAGCTCTACTTACTGAAAGAATTAACTATTTCTGTTTTGTTACATTTCACGTTTTCAGTTTTTTCTCACTCAAGATACGGAATTGCAAGGAAGTCCATTTGTTTCCTTTATATGTTTTAAAACAGTGTTTTACTTAAGGTTTTTTTTTTTTTGGTATGTTTTACAGATTTTTTTTTTAACCATTCTTCTCAACTAACCACTAAGTAAATTCTTAAAATGTGGGATTTCATTTCTCTCTTATATTATATGAAAAACAAAAATATAAACTCAATTTCCAACAGTATTGATAGGAAACTTTTATTAATAGTGTCAGTTATATTTGCATTTCTGTTATTTGTTACACAAAAGCTTCGTTTGGAGTTTTGTTTGCTAAATGATTCACAAGTAAAAATGTCATGCTAAAGCACTTCATATTTAAAATTTCAGTCAAATGTATAATTTCCAAAAATTTTGTCTGAATAAGGACTTCAGGGACATGTTTTTAAAATACATTAAGATTTAGCTAAACTTCTGACCTTCACCATCTTGCTATGGTAGACTAGTGGGTCTGGGTTTTAGAAGCAGGCTTTGGCTTGGCGTCAGGTGCAGAAACTTGTTCTTTAAAAGATGGTGGAAATAAATTTCAATTAAATTAATGTCATCTGATCAAGAGTAATATGTCAGTTGTCAATTCTGACTTTGAGGGAAGGAAAGCTTTTTTTTTTTTTGAGGGAAGGAAAGCTCGAGTTTTCCTGAAAATTGATGTGTACAAAGGGTTATTGCTGGGAGAATTATTTTACCATTTACGCAGAGCAGTTTCAGCATGCCAGTAGTAGACATTTCTATTACTTTTTTCCATTGGTAGTACCAATAAAGGTGATTAGATATCTTCATCGGATTGACATGTTGGAAGGGCTTAGCCTTTGACTAATGTAGTTCTTGCAATTTGTCTCTTTTATATGTAGCATAGGAAAAAAAGAGAAAAATTGTGAGGCTTTTTTGAGTTTTCTGTTTCCCTTTTTACTTTTAAAACACAGTGTTCTTCACAGGCTCTTTTCACCTAACTGGTTTTTCCTTTTTTGTGCGACTACGCAAACAGCCTCAGAAGGTGGGAAGAAACTGCCTATCTCACATGCTGAAGTTATCACACAAATTGAGTTATTTATGTTAAATGTTGCCAACAGTGAAATTCCATTTTTCTTGCTCTGGGATTATTTATGTATTTATTGTGCTGAATGAGCTATGGGCATCCCTTAATGCTCATTCCAGGAACCTATTGTGGTTTTTTTTCTTTTTTTTTTTTTTTCATAAGATGTCAGAACAGATGTGCCTGTCTGCATTTACAAATGGTTGTGGTCTTCCTGTGACTAAGCTAAGCCATGTAGTGTTCAGATCCTAACACTGTCTTGGGCCAATGCTCTGGTTACAGAGTTTATTCCTGCAGTAAGGCTGCTGTGACATTTTCTCCTGGTCTTAGCAAATGGGCAGATCAATAATAATTCATTGGCAGCGTTTGCCACTCCTAAAGAAATGCTGAATTATAAATATCTAATTACAATACAGATACTGCTATAAAAAATTTAGTGGATTAAAATAATGTTTACGAAGTGTGGGATGATGTTGTACTGATCATCTAGGCAAGCTGCATAGATGGTGACTATTACTGAGAGTTATTTAAGTTAATAATTTATTACTTGGGCAAACATGTAGTATAATTTTTACTGTATTTTTCAAATCCTTACTTTGAGGGGCATACTTGGAGGAATATTTTAGAGCATGTTCACAGAATCACAGAACTGTTGGGGTTGGAAGGGACCTCCAGAGATCATCGAGTCCAACCCCCCTGCCAAAGCAGGTTCCCTACAGCAGGTCGCACAGGTAGGCATCCAGGCAGTCTTGAACATCTCCAGAGAAGGAGACTCCACCACCTCCCTGGGCAGCCTGTTCCAGTGCTCCGTCACCTCACTGTAAAGAAGTTCTTGCGCACATTTGTGTGGAACTTCCTATGCTGCAGTTTCTGGCTGTTTCCCCTTGTCCTGTCTCCACTCACCACTGAAAAGGGTCCGGCCTCGCCATTCTGCCCCCCACACCTTAGATAATTATAGACCTGGATCAGGTCCCCTCTCAGTCTTCTTTTCTCAAGGCTGAACAGACCCAGTTCACTCAGCCTTCCTTCACAAGAGTTCAATTATATCAAGACTTTGAGAGCTAAGAACAAGAACAAGAGGTATGCTTACCTTGTTCTTTTCTAAAGATGTGTGGTTTAATAGTAACGTTAAAATGAGCAATTGAAAAGTTCTTTATGCGTTAAACAAATTTGGACCATTTTGCTTGTCAAACATACAGAATAGTAAGGTTTCTTTTCACCCTCATACAAATGACAATATTCAACTGCAGTTTGCAAGAGTTCTGTGATAATTTGGCCTTTGAATTTTAAGTACAATCAACAGTCTTCATTAAAATGAGCATCAAATGAGCAAAACTCTCCTTGTGCTATGGTACTGCTCACAAAATTTCCCATTTTCCCAAGATTCTCTTGGAAGCATATTCTTATTATTTCACTATTTCTGGTAAACTGAAAGAAAGCACTTTTATTAGGTCATTTCATAGTAATTATTTATCTGCCCAGATTCTGCAGTTTGGACTCATACGTGGAATTAAAAAATGGTTTTGTGTGTTGAAAAATGACCAGTGATTGATCTTCAGGAAAAAAAAGGCAGAAGTTTAATTTCTATTTTGTGGCAACCATTTAAAAGGAAAGTGAACGTGATGAAATTTCATTGCCTCCATGAATACAGTGTGGATTGTAGTGTTGTTTCAAGCAGTGACCCACTTGCTGGATACGTTGCAGCGTGCGGAAGGAGAGTACCACATACCAGAACAGTTGAATGCCAGGTACAGGAAAATAAAATTTCTTGTACCTCTTGGAAAATAAAAAAAAAATGTTTTGGAACAAAAAAACAAAAAAACAAAAAAACAACACCTAACACTTCCATTATATATATTATATATATTATTTGATATGAGAGGTTAAATACTGACCTTCTAAAGACAAAGATATATGGAATTTCTTATTTCTTTCTGTACTTCAAGTTTGCATCTCTTCAACCCTATGTTGTATGTCCAGTCAAAGTACATGTTTGTTATTTCAGTCAGCATGTGTTCTTCACACTATGAGATGTACCAGCTTGCGATGGAATAATTAAAAATGGGTGTAGGCAAACCCCTGCAACAGAGCAGCAAGGAGCATTGCTAGTAGATAATAGTGCAAAAGCAGACTCATTTGGTACATCAGTGTCTTTTACTGTTGATTACTGTCAGTATGTCCTCATTGTTTTAGGTATTAATTCTACTACAACAACTCTCTCTTTTCAGTTTCCCTCATCTCTGAATAAAACATAAGCACAAATAGAGTCTGAGGTATTAAATGTACAGTAAGTTTTAAAATATACATACTGTTTTACTTAGTGCAGAAAGAGGGAAGAGAGTTACCTGGGAAAACTGCAGAACTTATTGCTTAATTTGCCTACAGAGAAGTGCACAGATAGTAAATGTGCACGTTTATAAAATTTAAAACAAAATCTAACAGACTATATATTTTAGTCTATTTTACAGGCAATTATTAGCTAAGAACAAAGGAGAAAAAGGTGTCTTTCTTTCTTTCTTTCTTTCTTTCTTTCTTTCTTTCTTTCTTTCTTTCTTTCTTTCTTTCTTTCTTTCTTTCTTTCTTTCTTTCTTTCTTTCTTTCTTTCTTTCTTTCTTTCTTTCTTTCTTTCTTTCTTTCTTTCTTTCTTTCTTTCTTTCTTTCTTTCTTTCTTTCTTTCTTTCTTTCTTTCTTTC